ACGCTGCTCTGCCCCCAGGGTGACCCGCCCCGACGTCAGCGGCACCAGGAGGAGACCCTGTTGAATTTAAACTGTCAAAACACGGTGGAATATATCGCGCCATCAGAACAGAACCTAGTGAGTGGGTTCCACCCCAGACACACGTTGGTTGTCATAGTAATTTCCCAGTGCAAACAGGTCTCCCGGGAGGCAGCATGGGAACAGGAGCATCAGGACTTGGGACAGGGGTCTCTGGGCTCAGAGAGCCCCCGCGTGGAATCCCAATCAATTTTCACACAGCCGGGCTCCCATGGTTGCTGTAAAAGTCATACACTTGTGGGAAATATGCCTGCACTCAGTCAGGAGGGCCCTCGCCCTACGGGACCCGTTCCCACATTTCCCTGGTCACCCCCATGGCTCACATGAGGCCCCTTGACGAAGGTTGATCTTTGGGACATGCCTCTGACCCCGGTACTGGGTTCACTGTACCGCCCCCCCCCCAAACACATGCTCGAGTCCTAACACCCAGAACCTCAGGACGTGGCCTTACTTGGGAACTGGGGTCCGCTGCAGATTGAAGGCGTGTGTCCCCCCCCCCCCCAATTTGTATGTTGAAACCTAATCTCCAGCGTGACGGTATTTGGAGGTGGGGCCTTTGTGGTGATTGGGTCGTGAGGCTGGCGCCCCCGTGGATGGGATCAATGCCCTCATGGAGACCCCAGAGAATTCTCCCCATCCCTTCCCCACATGACGACACAGGGAGGAGACAGCCGTCCACGAACCGGGAATGGGATCCCCCCACCGGACACCAAATCTACCGACGCCTGGACCTTGGACTCCCAGCCTCCGAAACCGAGAAATAAATTTCTGTTGTTTACAACCCCCCCTGTCTGTGACATTCTCAGGATGGGGCTCTGGTAAGGAGAAGGGACTTTGGAAACAGACACGCGCGGGGAGGAGATGATGGGGGCAGACACGGAGGGACGCGGCCACCGGTGGAATGTCTGAGCCACCAGGAGCTGCAGGAAGGACCCTCCCCCCTCCCCCTTCCCTCCCCACCTCTAGGGGAGAGAGGGGGAGGGCGCCCTGCGGATGCCTGGGTTCCAGACTCTGCCCCCAGAAGTTGCCCCCAGACTAAAGTCCCTCATTTTGCGGTTATTAGTTACGGCAGCTGCAAGAAACACCTACATCCCCAAACTTCCTTCTCCCCACGTGACCGTGCAGAGAAGCAGGGGTCCCCTGCTCTGGGGGGCTCTAGGCTCTCTTCTCCATATTCGAAGGCTCATCCTGAGACCTGGACCCAGGGGTTTGCAGCTGGAAAGCGAGAGCCCCTTCGGGACCCTGAGGGGAGGTGGACTGGAACAGTGGGTCACCAGCAGCATACACCCTGAGCGAGTAAGTTCCCCCCAGGAGCCACCGTGAAAGCTGACAAATGTGCCCACCCGCATAGCTGAGGCCAGCGGCCCCCCGCACCCCCCAAACAGAGCGCATCCTTCCTATTACACGACAAAGCCCGAACATTTAGAAAACGTAGACGAGCTCGGCGAGGACAATGTTTAGCAAGCTCAGCGTACCCCCGTCCCAACCCAGACACTGTCAACATCTGAGGATTCTTTCCTCGCTGTTTCCGTGACCCTCCGTGGTGACGTCACTTACGTGTTCACTTTTTAAAAACCAGCATCATCCGTGAGGATCTGAACATCTTGTTTAATAAACTACGCTTTCTTTTCTCTTAGGAGCATGTTATGGTTTGGGGCGCCTGGGGGGCTCAGTCGGTTAAGCTGACTGACTTCGGCTCAGGTCTCGATCTCGCGGTTCGCGGGTTCGAGCCCCGC